TTTATCTCACTATAAAGTTGCTATTGAATCAGTTGGTTTCAAACTTTAGGAACTGTTGCTTTGCAAGTAGCCAAGTAATAGGAGTGAGCATTTCTCTTTGTTGAAGTTATTTTAATGTTTGGTACAAACAATTGTTTGCAGATCAGGAAACAAGACTTTCCATTTGGTTGGCAGAACCACAGTCAAAGAAGGTCTCAGGTCAAGGAGATACATGTCCAGAAGTTAAAAAGTTACAGGAACATTGAGATTTCCTTTCAAGAGGCTTGATTAAATCTCTAGTGGCTCAACTGGGCTCTGGATGTACCTGCATGGATCCTCTAATAATTTTTCCTTTTGTCTCGGGGGGATAATATGCTACCATGTTTGGACGAAGGTGAGGGTGAAGAGGTACTTTTCTGTATATTTCTCAGGGAAATCATATCATCAGGGCAGAAGGGAAGAAGGATAAAATAAATGTGCACATAATATACAAATAGGTTTTTGCTATTTTGATGACTTTAAATCAAATAGTTTAGATCCACTTACAAAATCTTAGTATGAATCATGCTTTGCTAAAAATATATAATTTGCCATTTTCCATTTGACTAAATCATATTTGCTAATATTATATCAATAAATTTGAAACCAAAAGATACCAAATACCTAGGTAACCTTGGGGAAATTAATTTATGCATTTAGTACTTTATTTTTTCATCAATTAGGGAACCTCTGACATACCTTCAAGTTCTCTGTTCTAATATTATGTAATCCTATAAAAAAATGAATGTATGAAAGAAACTAATGTAACTCTCAAAGAATCTAGAAGAGCTTTACCCAAAGGAGAGTTGACTGAGCTGGGTGATAACCTGGACACTGTGGCTATTTACAGAGGAGGCTCAGAAATGAGAATTCTAGAAATTCTAAGGGCTAGAGATAGCATTATGAGAAAATACCCTAAAAGTTATTGTTATTTAGTCTAGAAAGATGTTGACTAACAGTTGAATGGTGGAACATATAAAGGGAATATAAAGAGGACATACCTAGGCTTAAGCACTAAATTCTGAGAGGAGAAAAAAGGAGAGAGAGGGAGAAGGTGAGGAAGAGAGAGGGGGAGAAGGAAAGAGAGAGATTGATTCATTTAGGCCAAGAGTACACAGATAATTCCCAAAGAGTAAGCTACAGAGTTTAGGGTAACTCACACAGTAGTAAAGACTTCCATTCAAATGAAGAGATTTTGAAGTATAACCTTGTTCATGTCAAAAATAATGGCCTCTTCCTTCAGAAAACCTTGCTCTGACACTAATAAGGACAGAAAAAATTATCTTCTGGGGCCTGGAAGTCTGAATGTTCTAGAAAATTTGCTATTCTTTGTTTTTCTTGTGATGAGAAAATGAAAATTTAGATTTATCAACTAATGTTGTTGCAGTTGGTGTCAAATTAGCTGACAAATATTCAGTGCTTATTTTTTGAACACTAAACATAAGAGAGAACAATGCTTTGGGAACATAGATGGATCCACAGTGCTTGACCTCCTACTTTGCTCTCTCCAAGAAATTTCCTAAGCAGCATATTCAGCAATTCTTTACCTAGAAATTTACTCTAAGAAACATCCAGAGGTTCAAGTTCTTTACTGCACTGCGATTTACAGTAACAGGAAACCTGGAGATAATCTAAACCCCCACAATAGAGTGATCATTAAATAAATTATGGTATAAAGCATGTGTATAAAACTACCTCAGAAAGATTATACTGTGTGTGATTTAAAATGTTTTATTTATATTTTTACAGGAAACATTATATAAAGACAATTTTAACTTTTTAATCAGAAAAATAATGCATAGTAATTGACAAGAGAAAATGTTTTTATAATTTACATCATTCATATAATATAGGTAAACTGCATAGGACACAAAACTTTTCAAAAATATAAATTTATTATATATGAAATAAGTTTATATAGAAGTTTGATAGAAGAATGGAAGAAATGTCTACTTTTCTTTTTAAAAAACAACTTACTGATATTTAATTCAACTGAAAATCATTTGATGACCTTCAGTTTCTTTTTTCTGCTTTCAGGTGCATATTCCCAGATCCTAAGAGCCCCTTTCCTAAAGAAGAAAGAGTTGATTGAAGATTGGATAAGCATGTATGTGCGCAGGAGTGGGTCTAGATTTGTTGGAAAAGTAAACCTGGAAATAAAGAGAAAATAAATAGAACCTTAGAGCTAACTCATGCCTTGGAATTAAAAAGTGCATACATATTTTTTCTTAAATATTGATCACTTATTTATTTTAATTGGTGAAAATGTCCAGAGATAAAAATTAATATGAAAATTAACTAAGAATACTTAAAGCTTCATTCTTTTAGGCTGCTAGCATGTTCCTTCAAACAGTGATTACTGACAGAACATTTAAGAGTTAACCTCCGAAGATGACTTGAGGATTGGAAGACTCCACTCTGTATTAATTTGATAATTTGTCTGGGGATGTTTGACATTGTTAATGGACTGGGATGCCATACATTTAACTTGAATACATTGCATGAATTCCAAGCCATTTACCACTGAATTGCTTGTGCACTGGCATAAAAGGAACTGTGTTTATTAATTGCTAGTTACCACAATCTGTGATACTACACTTTGAGAAAATATTTTTGAATACTGAATGAAGCAACGAATAAAATGAAACAAAAAACTGGGGGAATAAAGCATTCTTCTTATGGAAACAAAATTAATAAATGCTCTGGACAAATAATGTTTTGAAGTCTCTTTATCTCAGTATTTAATGTTTCCACTAAAGACACCCAAACTCTGATAAAATACCATAAGTATCAATTATCTCTCAATTACATATGTGCTATTTGATGAAATATTAAAACTGTATAAGTGGCAATAGTTTGCACTGAAAAGCAAAACACACTTAAACAGGATTATAAGAGAAAAACATATAAATAATTTTCCCTAGCAAAATGACCAGGCCTGAATGAGATTCATAGCAGTGAAGTCCAATTAGCAAATTGACTTGCGTTCCAGACATAAGGCTATTTTTATCTCTAATTATTCCCATGTTTCCAACCATTCTCTCATAACCAATGATGGAGAGCCAGTTTGAATTTCAGATATGTTAGCTATTCTCTTGATATTTTCAAATCCAAATTATTTTCAGGTCCGAGTAAAATCTCAATAAATGTTTCACTGAAGCCTTTGGGACCCTCCTAAACCTAGAAATCTTATCTAAAGGGTTATTATCAGAAGACAAAGTTTCATCTGAGGATTAGCCAAATCCTAATAATGGGGGAAGAAGTCCAGCCTCAGGGTTTGGCTGACTGGGAGAATGAGAATATTAAAAACCTGCCACTCTTTGGCTACCATTTCTACATAGATTCATCATTTTGCTTTCATACTCTTTTCTCTAATGCCTTTCATCCTGCTCTTCAAAACCATCTGATAAACTCATTACCTCTTTTAAATCAGTAAATAGATACCACTCTTGGAGAATGCCAACAGCAGTTGGCAATATTTTCTGTAAAGAGTAGGGGTTGTTGGCTTCCTGTGGCTATTGCAATTAATCAGCTCTACCTTGGTAGAATAAAAGAAACTATGATACATAATAAAAGAGCATGGTTATATTTCAATAGAACTTGGTTTATGGACACCAACATTTAAATCCATATACTCTCCAGGTGTCCTTTTCAACCACTTATAAAATGTAATACCCACTCTTAGCTCACAGCCTGTTCAAAGTAGGCAGTGGGTAGGATTTGGCCCACAGGCTGTGGTTTGCTGAACCATCATGCTTTATGGCATATTATCCCATGTATAAGGAGCACTAAGGGATGAAGAAAGAAGAGTGAATATGTCAAATGACAATACCAAAACAAAGATGTATGATAGGCTGGGAAACCAACATAAAAATTAGGATGAGATTGAACAGGGATAAATTCATTTTAATCCTATCCAACTGGACATTATTTTACTCTGTAAACAGTACTAGGAATTATAGAGCACACATACACATATATGCACATCTATAATCTCTCTGAGTGTAATATGGACCACAGATTTTGAATGGAATCCTAATAATTTATATTGAGAGCAATTAGAGATCAGTGATTGCACTGTAGGCTCAGGAGCTGGGTTCAAATATCAACTTCAAGTACCAGCCAAATGATTTTGCCTAAGTTATTAAATGTCTTTGTGCTCCATTAAAAAAAAGTAAAATGACATACCAGCTTTCTAGGTCTGTTGTAAGGATTAAATGAGTTAGTACATATAAAGTATTTAAAGCTAAGTGTTATATCAGTAAAAAAATTGTTAGCTCCTACTTTGGATTTTGAGTTAAGCATATCTAATCTAATTCAACACATAGAGAAAGAACACACAGGTGCTTTGGTGAAACTCATGAGATGGAGGTTTTGAAAACATTCACATAAGTCTTTTGAGATACTTTTTTATTTATAAACAATTATAGGAAATAATAGACACATTTGTATATTCATCTAATTTCACCCAATGGGAACATCTTGCATAAGTATAGGTCAGTATCACAAGCAGGAAGCTGACATCGATGCAACCCAAGGAATTTATTCAGATTTCACTTGTCTTACATGCACTCCTGTGTGTGTGTGTGTGTGTGTGTAGTTCTTTGTCATACCACTTCCCAAAGAGGAGCATCCAGATGGAGAATTAGGTCATCAATCACTAATTTGAATGATATGTGAAGAAGATGCATTCATTGACATAGATCATACATTTGACTATTACTACCAAAATATCCAAAGAAAGAATGACCTTGTGATAGAAACTCCACACACCTGGATTCAATTTATTTTTCATCTACTCTTCACCCCATGGCCTTACTCTAAAGAAGATCCATTAAAAAGGAGATTCAAAAATAGGATTTCTGTTCTTTATAGTTTACACCAATTATTGAGAGAGAGGTAGAAAACTTAATTTTCTTAATTCAGATTTTGAAAACGCATTTTGTCATCACAACCTGGGGCCTTTGAGTCTGGACTCCTTTTCATTTGAAGTTGGGAAAAGTGATTTGATCCACAAGGGCAGAGAAAGCCCTGCACACCTGCTCAGCTTTTCCATATAGGTCCATGTTCACTGAAGACTGTGGCCCTGAAATCAAGAAACAGGAGAATCTTTCAGAGAAACCTACTTATAGGTTCTTAAGCTGATCTGGATAAAGCTTTTGCACATAGATGAAATGGAACCCATCTTTCCTCAATTCCTGCAAACAATGCCTTTTCTCTAAGTTATAAGGCAAATTAGATGGCTGTATTAATCATGATCAATACCACTAATCCAAAGAAGTTGTAGGTTCTTAAGATGCATTTTCCCATGGCACAAATCTGAGGTGCCAGAAAGTCCACTCCAGACAAGTGTCTTGCAAACTCTGTACAATCAGAATCACCTGAAGAGTGTTAAAACAGAATGCTGGACCCCATCCCCAGAGATGTTACTCAGTCTGTTGGGGATAAGGCAGAGAATATGTATCTGTAATAAGTTTTCAGGTGATGCTGATGCAGCTAAGATTTGAGATGCTTCCCTGAGATCAGTTATAAAAGGGATTGAGCTACAGCTGAGTTCTACAAGACCTTTAAAGAAGAACTAATACCAGTACTCTTCAATTTATTTCAGGAAATAGAAAAAGAGGGAGCACTTCAAACTCATTCTATGAGGCCAATATTACCTGATTCCAAAACGAGGCAAAGACATATCAAAGAAAGAAAACCTCAGATCAGTATCTCTAATGAATATACATGAAAAAATTCTCAATAAAATTTTGGCAAATCAAATACAAAAAACATATCAAAACAATAGTGCACCATGATCAAATGGGGTTCATCCACATATGTGGTTGGTTCCACATATAGATATCAGTAAATGCAATTCTTATTGAATTAATATTGTCAAAATGACCATACTACCAAAAGCATTATACAAATTTAATGCAATTCAATCAAAATCCCAATGATATTCCTCATAGAAATAGAAAAAGCAATTATGAAATTCATCTGGAAAAATAAGAGATCCTGAATGGCCAAAGCAATCCTTAGCAAGAAGAGTGAAGCAGGTGGCATCACAACACCAGACCTTAAACTATACTACAGAGCAATAGTAACAAAAACAGCATGGTATTGGCACAAAACAGACTGGTAGACCAATGGTACAGAATAAAGGACACAGAGACTAACTCACATAATTCAGTTATCTTATATTAGACAAAGGTGCCCAAAACATGCATTGGAGAAAAGATAGTCTCTTCAACAAATGGTGTTGGGAAAACTGGAAATCCATGTGCAACAAAATGAAATTAAACCCCATGAAAGAAAGTCCACTCCAGACGAGTGTCTTGCAAACTCTGTACAATCAGAGTTGCAAACTCTGTATAATCTCTCTCCATGCACAAAACTCAACTCAAAGTGGATCAAGGACCTAGGAATTAAACCAGAGACCCTGCATCTAATAGAAGGAAAAATAGGCTCAAATCTCCATCATATCGGATTAGGCCCCTACTTCCTTAATAAGACTCCTGTAGTGCAAGGATTAAAATCAAGAATTAATAAATGGGATGGATTCAAACTAAGCCACATCAATGTTTATTGCAGCACAATTCACAATAGCTAAACTGTGGAACCAACATAGATGCCCTTCAGTAGATGAATGGATGAAGAAAATGTGGTATATATACACAATGGAATGTTACTCAGCAATAAAAGAGAATAAAATCATGGCATTTGCAAGTAAATGGATGAAGTTGAAGAATATAATGCTAAGTGAAGTTAGCCATCCTCCCCGCAAAAACAAATGCTGAATGTTTTCTCTGATTTAAGGAGGCTAATTCATGGTGGGGTTGAGAGGGGGAGCATGGGAAGATTAGATGAACTCTAGATAGGGCAAAGGGGAGCAAGGGGAAGGGAGAGAGCAAGGGGGTAAAAATGATGGTGGAATGAGATGGGCATCATTACCCTAAGTACATGTATGAAGACTCGAATGGTGTGAATATACTTTGAATTCAACCAGAGATTTGAAAAATTGTGCTCTATGTGTATAATATGAATTGTAATGCATTCTGCTGTCATATATAACAAATTAGAATAAAAATTTTAAAAAAGAGATTGTGCTATAAAAAGATCTACAATTTGGTGGTTATCAAAGTTTTAATGTGCATAATCTTTAAACTAAGAACTCTTCATAGTTTAAATATACAAAATATACAAGTATACAAAAAAAAGAATATCGCTTACACATAAGCACAAGGAAATATAAGGATATTCACCAAAGCCTTTGTGATCATGAAAAACTGAAAATAACTTGATTATACATCACTAAATATAGTATATTCATACCATGAGATGCTACACAGAATTTTTAAAAAATGTCATTGTTTAATGTCACTAAGCAAGCAGGAAAAAAGCAAAAGTATAGTATAATCTGACTTATGATGAAAAAGTAAGGACATGTACATATGTAGTTAAAAACATGTAAAGGAAAACGTATTAAACCTCTAGTAAAAAGGTGGGAGAAGTGGAGGACATGAAGATGAATTAATTTTTAGAAAATTGTGCATTGTGGCATCTTAACTTACCAAAAAATGTAATATTGTATTATTTGTATAACTGATAAAAAATAAAATCACAGGAATTGAAAGCACAGAAAGGCTTATTTTGTTAGTTACATACTTTTCAGGTACCTGGAGTATATTGTAGCTCCATCTGTGCTATTTTGCATTGAACATTCAGGAGGAGAGAATTTATACCATTCTTCCTCATCTATTCTCTAACACTTCTCCAGAGCTACAAGGACCTTGAATAAATCATATTTCATGGCCTGACTAAAAATCTTTGTTCAGAGGCAAACTTATTTTAAAACACTGCTTCTTAGCCCACAGTGATAAAACCTTAAATACAGCAATAAAGAAATAAGTAAGTGTAGTCCTTTTCATCTTTTCATGAATGAGAGCTTTTCCTGTTACTTTTTTTTTAAGCTTAAGTCCCTTGTAATGTTACAGAAAAAAAAAAGCCAAAGATATGCACCTAGTACATAACATGTTACTTGGCATACTCTTGGGACTCAACATGTATAAGGACTAAATTAATATGCATATATGTAAATGCCTAAGGAGATGTTAATTGACAGTCCAGAGAAAATCACAATGTAATTTAAATTAACAATTAATTTAAATATAATTTAAAAGCCTATCTGGTCTCTGAATAAATTAAAGATGTGAGAGAAGGCTATTAGAATGTTGGATGTAGAGATTTGAAAGTATTAAGCTGTGTAGTCTATGAGTACTTTCCTAGGCAATTGAAATACTGAACCCATGTCTTTCTTACAACAATCATTAATTAAGCAAATCAATATTCATTAAATATCTACTCTGTGCTAAGACCTCTTCCTTGAGATGCAGATTGTACATGTTGATTGCCTCTTTGACAATTCATTTAGAAAGGTCTCAGGCAATTCAAACCTAATATGGTAAAAACAGAACACCTGATTTTTCTGGCTCCCCCCCGTCAGTCTTCACAGTGTTCCCTGTTGTCATAAAATATCACCATCTACCCTTGTGGTATGCTCTTTCCTGGTCTGTTATCCCACTTGCCCTTCTCCCAGCTACTCTCCACATAATGCCAGGATGTCTTAAAAATACAAACCTATGCCGTGAATGCCAAGCAGCAAGCATAGTGCTTGGCACAGAGTAGATTATTGATGAATATTTGTAAAGTGAATAAATGAGTGATTTAATGACGAACCAACTAGATATATTTTCTGCTGGATCTCTTCCTTTACTCATCAAAAAATTACTTTGATTTTTCGTGTGTGTGTGTGTATAATGATAGAGAAGACAGAATAAAAGATATATGTCCATTAAGTTTCCAATAAACAGTACTTGGACTCCCAATCATCATTTGAGGTTATTTTCAAACAGATTAGATAAAGATACAATGTTGAACTTTTCTCTCCTGAGTTTGCTAATACACTGTTGTTTATTTCCCCATAATTTGCTAAATTTGAAGCTTTATTTTCTATTCATTTAAAATAATAATTCATAATGATGGTTTCAGAAAGGAAAAGGGCATAAGCCACATCCCTGACCTTACCTGTGCCCTCATATACATAAAATTATGTCATCTGCAAACAGAGATCATTTTATTTCTTTTTTGATTTGAATAGCTTTTATTTTGTTTCCTTGTTTGATTGCTCTGGCTATGACTTTCAGCACTATGTCTAACAGAAGTGGTGAGCATGGGCATCTTTGCTTTGTTCTTGATCTTAAAGGAAATGTTTTCAAATTTTCACCTTCAGCATGATGTTAGCTGTGGGTTTTCATATATAGACTATATTCCATTGAAATAATTTCTCTCTCTACCTAGTTTATTGATAATTTTTATCACTATAGAGTTGAATTTTTCAAATGCTTTCTTCTATATCTATTAAACAAACCATGTGATTGGTATCCTTTATTCTGTAATGTACAGTATCATATTTATTGATTTGCAAAAACTAAAACATCCTTGAATTTCAAGGAAAATTCTCACTTGCTCATGGGGTATGACCCTGTTAATATGCTGTTGAATTCAATGTTCTAATAATGTGTTGAGTATTTTTACATATATTATTACCAGAGAAGTTAGCCTGCAGTTCTTTTCTTGTAGTGTTTTTATTTGTGTTGGCAACAGGGTAATACTGACCTCATAAAATTATTTTTGAAGTATTCCCTGTCCCTCAATTTTTTTGGAAGACTTTAAAAGTATAAACATTAATTCTTCTTTAAATATTTGCTAGAATTTACTAGTAAAGTCATCTGGTCTTGGGCTTTTTTTTTTTTAGTAGTAGTTCAAATTTTCTGTTTCATTATAATTAAGTCTTAGTAGGTTGTATGTTTCTGGAAATTACCTATTTCTTCTAGATTATCCAATTTGTCGGTGCATGATTGTTCATAGTAATAATCATGATCCTTTTTATTTCTGTGGTATTAGTTATGTCTTTATCATTTAATTAATTTGAATTTTTCTTTTAAGTTAGTTTAGCTAAAGTTTTGTCACATTATTGATCTTCTAAAAAATCAAGTCAGCTTTTTTCCCCTATCGTTTTTTATATTTTATTTATTTTTG